CAACCACGACCAACCGACCTACAAGGTTAACGATCCGTCGAACTAATGTAACTATATACTGAATATACTATGATTAAACATACATATAATTTAGATATCTTTTAGAAGTGAGTTAGTTTAATATGAAATATTATTCTGAAAATTCATTTCTGAATTTTTTACCCACTACACGCTACCTCAAATTAATGAGGGAAAAATTGTTGCTGTTGTCACACCCCCGCCGGGAATCGAACCCGGGACCTTTCGCTTTACTCACCAATGTTCTGACCACTAAACTACGAGAGGTAGTACTACAGCAACAACGACCAACCGACCTACAAGGTTAACGATCCGTCGAACTAATACTGTATATACTGTGATTATGTTGTTACCTCTCGTAGTTTAGTGGTCAGAACATTGGTGCGTAAAGCCAAAGGTTCCGGGTTCGATTCCCGGCGGGGGTGTGACAACAGCAACAATTTTTCCTCATTAATTTGAGGTAGTGTGTAGTGGGTAAAAAATTTACAAATGCATTTTCAGAATAATACTTCATATTAAGGATATGATCATTTTATTTATGCGTTATGTGTATGACAAATGATAAACGTGCATAAAATAATTCTAAAATTTTTAATTTTTTCAATAAAAGTAAACACCGACTGAAAAGTTGGTGCCGGTGCACAGTTCGGTCTCTGTACGGTGAATTCGTGTCATTTACCATTTTGGTTGAAATTGCTTCACGCGATTACACTATCGTTTCGTCCTTTTGTAGACGAGTAAAATTACCAAGGAGCTTCATAAATTAATTACCGGGCTGTAAAGTAGTCGCGTAAATTGACGTTTACGCTGTACCCGCGCCAAAGTTTGTTACTCATAATTAACACTAAACGTTACCAACGTGCTAATTAAAAAATACCGCTGATGGAGGGTCTTTGACGGGGAAATTCTGTTTTTCCGGTGAATATTAAACTTTTCGAAAAATTTTGAAGAAGTATCCTTTGTGAACCCAGGTAAATTAAAGTTTATTGAACGCTAAACTTCCCTACTAAATGTGCTATCATCTGTCATACAAAAATTTGGAGATTGTATAGATAAACTAATTCGAAGTGGTCTGTATTC